GGGAACAAAGCTGCTGCGGGCAGTGAAGAAGCTGCTGCCTCCCCCAAATGTCAACCACACGCGCGCGCGGGCCCCAGGTCTGCCGTCTGTGCAGTGGCTGCTCCTGGCAGAAGACCTCTGCTTTTTGCAAGGAACTTAACTGAGGATACGAGGGCACAGGTTCCTTCTCCTCTGCGAAAACCCCACAGGGAATTTCAAATCCAGGCCACGGCCATGTGGATTTAAAGTGTCTAGTTCCTTTTACCTTTCCCCAGACCATGACACGTTATCCGTGTCTATAATTCCCCTTCTTAATCTCAGAGATTATCAGCAGGCACAGGATTTAGAGAGGGTCTTGACAGAGCCTCCACTTTACAAATAGGATAATATCTTTTTTTCCCTTCTTTTTTATTATTCCTCAGCTGAGGATTTTTTTTTCTTCCTTTTTAGATAGAGTGGAAGGGAGGGAGGCAAGGGGAGAGAGAGAAACATCAATGTGAGAGAGACACATGGATTGGTTGCCTCCCACAAGCATCTCGACTGGGGCTGGGGATCTAACCTGCAACCCAGGTACATGCCCTTAACCGGAAATCGAACCCAAGACCCTTCAGTACGCAGGCCAACACTAGAACCACTGAGCAACACAGGCCAGGGCTAGGATAATATCTTGTACGGATTAAGTAGCATAAAGTCCGCATGTTTGAGTAACTAACAAACAGAGGCCAACTCACATCCTGGTTTCCCCAAATCTTAACTTTGAATCCAACGTCACTTGTAGGTGACAGTTCTGAAGGAATGTTAGAAGCTTGACCCCAACAAAAATGTGCAGACTAATCCCGTGTGTGTTTAGTTTACATCAGAAACCAAAGAGAGCTGCCGGCGCAGCTGAGTAGGCCCAGGGCTCAGGAAACCTGGCAAGGAGCAGAGGGGTTGAGCCATCCTCGGGGAGAAGACTTGATCCCGCTGCAGGGCTGGGGGGTGCACGCACCTCGGGTAAACCTTCGGCTAAGCCCGCGCCCTGCAACAGTTACCAGCTCTGATGTTATCTGAGTCCAAAGAGCCCACACCCGAGAAGCCGCCGCTGTTACAGCCAAAGATTACACGCCTTGCTCGTGGCTGGATTAGCAGACATTTGCTCCAACTGTGTCCCTGTATTTACACAGTCCTGAAGGATTAGAGACCGCAGCACAAGTCTTGGCTATTTGTTAATAGCTAATATTTTCGGGATAAATTTCAGAGTCTTCCCAGGAGAGAGAGAAGGGAAAAAAGTAAGCTTGACATGTAAAATTGAAAAGAGAAAAATTTGAACACCAAGGAATGGAAAAGAACCCCACAAGGGTCATAGGAGAGCTGGAGAGTGAATTTCTGGCAAACAGGAAAATTAGGTGAAAAAGAGATTATTCATGAAGAGAGTGGAAATAAGAGCGTTTAAGATATTTGGATGGCAGGTGCTACTTAGTAAAGTAGATAGAGTGCCTGCCAGAAAATTTTCCAGTGAAATCATTCATTGGTTATTTTAATTAAAAATATCACTACGGACCAAAGAACCTGTGGCTAAGGCCATAAACAGAGGACTTGACTGCATTATACTGATTAATAAAAGGACTCTGGTTAACCTTGCTAACCAGGGAATTTCATCCCAAACAGATACGGATGATATTCTGTCCGGATCATATGTAAGCCAGGACTCAATCATCTGAGGGAGAATTGAGAAATGGAGTTGGGGAAAACCTTTGGGAACAGTGCTATGGATGCTCATGCTTCCACTATTCTGAGAAGCAATCTGAACAGCTTTGAGTTTTCTTAGAGAACCAGCTTTTACCCTGTAAACTGTGTTCTTGGAATATAATAAACTTTATATCATTGACATGCCTGGGCTATTCAGCTATTTATTGCATTTAGAAGTTTATAAAAGTTGTTCGCGTGTGTAACTTTTCTTCCCATTTTAAAGCGATCGTCTGGGAGATGTCATTTTGCTTACTGGTGTTTGCTTTCAAGACCCATATCTCTGCCCTTTTCGAGGCCATATCTCAAATGCCAACCAAAATGTTTTTCAATGTTTGCTTTACAAAGTGTGAGAGAAGTTTTTTAAATTAATAAAACATGACTTCATCTGAAGATTGAATTATGAGGTTTAAAAATAACTTGACCCAATAAAATGAGATCTAACTTTAAGAATCATGAGTAGGTGCTGGGGCTAGGCGTGTCCCACAGTGTGAGCCTGAGCTCTGGACGCTGGCCTCTAAGTCTGTTCTCTATCACAGGGGAAATAGAAGCTCCTCAATGAGATGGGGAAGCAGAAGTGAATTTTCTATATTTGCTCAGGAAGTCAACTTTTGATAGCTGGTGTACCAATTAGATTGTGGATTTGAGGGAGCAATGTTCACATCCCAAGTTGATTTCTTTGCCAATAGAATTCTGAGCTGCCTTTCCAAAAATTATAACCTCATTTTCATACTGGCTTTAGACATACTATCTTTAGGGGGGAAATGTGGTCACGCTTAGAAATCCTGTGAAAAGTGCTATGATATGTCCTAAAAAAAATAAACATGGTTTGGGATTAATTGTGCTGCTGTTCATTTTCCGCAGGACAATCGAATGGTGAAGATAGATTATATTATTCATGACACAAGCAAATTTAGAGGTAGCATGGTATCTGTTATAGGTTTTACACATTGTCTTGCTTACTAAGACAGAAATAACAAGCCTGAAGGAAGATTCTCACACTTTAAAAGTAAACAAGTCATGTTCAGCTTCTTCACCTGGATGCTGGTTACATAGGATTGTTTATTTTGTGAAAATTAGTTGCACTCTTCTGATTTGTATACTTTCCGTATAGAGCTTTCCAAAGTGCTTTAAAAAAGTCAAAAACAATTCCACGTCCAGAAGTCTCCTGTGATTTAATAAAGCCTCACAAACTTGAATCCAGCACAGAAAAAGGTCTCATTAGAATTATTCAGAAAGGAACTAACTCAAACTAACTAACTAACTAACTGACCCGTGTAGCCTTCTCAGCTGTTCCCTAGGAATGCCTCTGTGGCTTTAAGAAATTGATACAACCACTTAGGTCTATTTTGCTTGGCTAGCAACTGGGATTCTATTTATCACTTCCACCATGACTAAAATATTAAAAGATTTGATAATTAGGCTGGAAGAGGTGTGAAAAAGTTTGAGGAAACTATGAAGAAAAAGGAGGCTTTAATTCAGGTTTCAGATTGCATATTCTTATACCCACATTCATATCCAACAGAGAGTGTGTATATTGCTTTCTATACGCACACAGACACATACAATTTCCTGCCTCAACCCTGAAGATATGACCATAAATCCTATTATTTCTGTGCATACATCCATCTGGCATGCGTAAGAACAGAACTGTTCCTTTCCTTTCCCAGAGGGTGTAATTTGCTATCTCCCTAATTGAAAGCCACATCACATAGTCCTAACACTATGAGAATACCCATTAGCATGAATGAAAATGTTTGCTCTGTGAGGACCGCAGGAGTCGGCTCACACTGACAGAAAGAATTTAAAATTCTTCTCATTTAGGAGGGATGACACCTTTGGAAGCAAGAGAAACAGCACCTTTCTTCCCTGGAGCCTGCCCCTAAAACTTCCTTTCGCAACCTCAGAACCTCTGCATGCTCAGGAGATGAGAAAAGGCAGTCTTCACAACTCAGGGTCAGACAAATTGCCCACCGACTTAGACCAAAGTTATTTTACATTGGGCCCTATTGTAATTCCTTTTTTAAAAACAAAAAAAAATCTCTTAAACATGTATTGAGCATTCAGATCGTCTTTCACGGAACAAATCCATGTGAGGAAAGTAACCTCATTTTATAGTATCCTCTCTTTCTGTTTAACAGAACCCCCCATCAACTACTTTTTTAAAAACAGACCTCATTTTTATCTTACAATCAAATAGCAATGTTAATTGATTATAAAGCCTTCAAGTATAAATTATAAACTGGCCTCAGCTATTCTGCCCTTTGGAACTCATAATCAGAATATAGTAAATTAATGTAGAACTATACACCCTTAGCATTAGTTGCTGAAAATTGGTGGTGCTGATGATTTATATATGCATGGAACGTATTTTAAACATGAACAAAGAATGGGTGTCTCTCTCTAAATGCCACATACAAGACCTTATCTATTTTATTAAACAGAAGTGATGTTGAACATGGTGTTTGTTTGCAGTCCGCTCACCAGATGGCCTCGCTACTCAAGTTCCCCCATAACTAGCTGATTTGGGAAATCAGAAGCTGTACTCTTCTAATTTATTTCTGATTCATTAACCATGAGTTCCAGAAAGTCCCTTGATTAAAAAACAACCAGTTCTGATTTTTTGTTATCCGTAGTTCTTCAGAACAGATAATCTGTATTAAGTATATCTACAATTTTGATCTATTATTCAAGGAAAAAAGTTAACTTTTTTTTCTGGTTCAGCTTTCCTGACTAAACTGAAAACTCATTAAAATGATGAGAACCATCAAGATGCATCAAGGCACAACCTTATGCATTCATTAACTCTCCAAATGGGAGCAAAATCCTCTTATTGGTAGAGAGGGACATAGAGATGACATATCTTTAAGTGGCTGTGTTAAAAGAGACTTATCTGTCTGTCCCCAAGCCACTCATACCAGCTGAGCAGTCTCTTTAGCCATAATCTAGAGATGTTTTCTTTATTCTATGTCATTATAGGCAAAATAAAAGTTAGAAATAGAAGGAAAATGCATTACTCAATATGATTGGCTAGGATTTCAAATTCCAAATATAAGGATAGAGAAAGGAAAAAAGAGAGACCACAATTTTTTTAAAGAAGTATATATGCCGCAATCTAGTTTAAAGAGAAAAGATTAAATTAGGAATATTTTTAAAATATATACTGAAAGAAACAATAGAGTCATTGATTGAGAGTGGGCGACTGACGCTGTGCATTTAAAAACTCCATCTTCTATCAATTTCACCAATTACACCTAAAACTTTTACCAATTACCAATTACACCTATAATTTTTACCTTGTTTATAAGATGCCAAAACCATATTCTGATCTTCAACTTCAAAAACTGTGTCCACATCTATTTGCCTTTGGATTAAAATGGCCTTCAATTTTCCGAAGTCATTTGACTTGAGAGCCTCCAGGAAATTTCTCTTAACTAGCTTGGCAGCTGCGGGTGTACTGACAGGGAGAGCAGTGCCGTCCATCCTTCCTCTTCCTCGGGAAGCTTGGTTGTGATTTATCAGGAGAGCGGCACCAAGCAAACAGGCACATGCTGGAGAGCCCACAAAGTGTCGGCTAATTTTATCCCAAAGTTATGCTGATCCGTTCTATTTATATAGGGATCATTTCAAACTTCAAAATATCCTTCTTGGCTGTCACTGCATTTTCAAGTCTTTAAAACGGGTTCTATACTGACTGATTCTTGAACCATACACCGTGCCAATATGAAGGAAAACCCTCATGATACTTTTCAGAGGATGAAATGTCACTATGATCAAAGTAATCCTGTGAGATTTAAAAGCTCTTACTGCTTCTCTTTCCCTCAGTAAAAACATCTGGTGCCCAACTGGAGATCCAGTGTCTTGCTCTGTTTAACCAATAGCCCCCAAAATAAATTTGTTCCAGTTGCTGATATGTGTGCTTCTGAAAAGCTATAATACTTTTGTAATATAAGCCTGCAAAATCAGGCATGGTCACACACATTCGAAAACAAACAGAGGGGTTTCAAGTGGCCTAGACTTGAAAACGTTCAAGGTCATAAAAGAAAGTGGGGTGGGATGCTGGTGGGCGAGGACTGTTTCAGATAAAGAGAGACTAAAGAGACAAAACAGCTACATGCAGGGCGTGAATGAATTTATTTAATCATGGATTTTTTTTTTAGTCAGTTAGAAAAGACCACATTGTAATAATTGTGGAAATATGAATATGGACTAGATATTGCTTGATACTATGAAATTATTGTTCATTTTAAAAGGTGTGGTAAACGTATATGGCTATTTAAAAGGATATTCTTATTCTTAACTGATACTTTAGGGGTAAATTGTTGTGATGTCTAAAACTTCTTTACAAAAAGTTCAGAAATATAAAAATAAATATACATACATACACACACATATACATATATAAGTATATGTGTGTATTTGTGTGTGTGTAAATAGAGGCAGAAAGAGAAAGCAAATTTAGCAAAAAAGTGTAAAGTTGGTGTCCACTATATTATTCTCTTAGCTTTTTCTCTAGGTTTGAAATGTTTTCAAATAAAAAGTTAAAGAGGAAAATACTCAATTTTTTGAATGTGTAAATCATGGAAAATTAGAAAATGATCATAATAAGTATTCATTTGAATGCAAAAAATCACATTTTATATATTGTTGGTGAGAGTCAAAACTTAAAATGATAATAGCATTTAATTCTTAGAATTTACCAAAGGACGTAAAACATGGATGCAAATTGTAACACAATTTTTAACTTTTTTCATTGACGGGTAACATAAATACAAGAAAGTAGAAGGTGACAAGTCAAGTCTACAGCTTGTTAAATTTTTACATAGTGAAGACAACTGTGTAATCAACCCCCATGGAATTCTGTCCTCTTCTCTTCAGGGGATACATCCCAAGACCCCTAGTGGATGCCTGAAACTGGGGATAGAACCAAACCTAACTATACATACATACCTTTGCTAAACTTTAATTTGTAAATTAGGTACACTCAGACAAACACAACTAATAATACAATAGAATAATTGTAATAATACACTGTAATAAAAGTTATGTGAATGTGCTCTCTCTCCCAATATATCTGATAACTGAGAGGGCTACTACGTGATGAATAGGTGGGGATCATCTACGGTGTGAATACTCAGGACAAACGGATGAGTCGTGCACTGGGCAGGAAGGAGCTGGGTGGTGGGAGATTTCAGCTGCCACTCAGAATGGGAAGCAACTTAAAACTTATGTATGAGTGGTTTATTTCTGGAATTTTGCGTTTAATGTTTTTAGACCACTGCTGACAGTGGGTAACTGAGACCACGGAAAGCGAAACTTCAGATAAGGGAGGGCTACTGTAGTTCAAATATACTTCAAACCCCTTCCAATCAAAATATACACCTGACTCCAGAGACAACCATTATCCCAACATCTAACAATATAGATTAGCATTGCTTGTTTTTTCCATGTTTAGGCTATTTTGTTAATATTATTAATTTTTAAGTTTTCAAGAATATAAAATTTCAAGTTTAACATAGTATAAAATATTTGTTCTGCAAAAAAGGATAAATAAATAAAAATGTATGTGTGGATGGTTACATTGTTTTAATAATTATAAAAATAGAAGCAATCTAAAGATCAACATAGAAAATTTGATAAACAAATTATGACATATACAAATAATGGAATACCCTTCAGTCATTATAACTAGATAGATCTATATTTAATTAAAAATATCTGTGAGATAAGCAATTTATAAAATAATATGTATGGAATAAACATCTTTTAAAAATGTCTATACTTATATAACTTAGGAATATATATCTGCATATAGGTATATAAATCATATATATTTATATAATGTACCAAATGTATAAATATATGTTCTATATGTGACACATAGGAAGGAAAAGTCTGTAAGCGTCTATTACCAAATATCATCGACTTTTATTTCCCAGTGGTAAGATTATATCAGATTTCTTCTTTATCTCTTTCTTATTTTGTGAATTCATCTACAATGAGCAAATATTACATTTGTAATAAAAAGGTATTTCCATGCTGAACATATTAATAAGGATAACATGTTGACGCAGAATAACTACAGAATTACAGATTCCATGAGGGAGGGAAGTGAATCATTCTCATGTCCTCAGTGTCTACCTAGCCCAAATGAATAAATAAAGAGTGAATGTATAAAGAATTAATCATTAATTATTTATAATGTCCTGAGCACATGCTTGGGGGCAAATAAGATACTCTTCCTTTGAAGTCCTCTGGGTCACTCAGGCAGACATATAGCATTTATTAATATGTTTTGTCCATTTTTGACAAAACTAGAGAAAAAAAGCATTTCCAGTATAGGAAACAGAGACATCCAAAAATTTTGCATTATGTGAGGATAATTAGTGCAAAGGCCACTAAAATTGACTCTACTTAAAATGAAGATCAAATTTCACAAAATGGGGGGTCTTTTAAAATTCATCTTCAAAAATAAAAGCAAAATTATGGAGAAAATTTTTTTCACTTCATATTTAATAACATTGAGGTTGACAGCAATTGTATAATTCATAGACTCATGAAATGAAATGTTTACTATTTTCTGAGGAAGATAATTCTTCTGATCCAATTTCATAATAAGGGTCATTCAAAAGATAAAGGATATTGCTTTATGTTATTACTAATATAATAACTAATCATTGAAATATCAAAGGATCAGAGAGGCCCTGGCAAAACTGATGAAGCTCTCGTGAATATTTATGTAAATATGATCCTTTTTTTATTAGTTTGACAACAGACAATCAATATATAATTAACTATCACATCCTGGTTCACAAAGCCATCCATTCCATTATTTGAAAATTAGCTTCAGAAGTTTCTTTGTTACATTGGGCCAAAATTTGCCCATTCACTTCTTCCCATTGGGTCTAATTATGAACATACAATCATACATTTATTTCAGACTCATCCTGGATGAAAGTCTTCCTAACATTTGGAAGTAGCATCCTATCTCTCATAATAATGTTTTCCTTTAGTAGTGTCAACTGTTCCTTACTTGGGGTGGTTTTCAGAATTCTTTTTATCTTGCCCAATCCCTTATGGATCCTCTCTAGTTTATTCATGAATGCTCCTCTTAAATCTTGGTGCCTAAAATGGAGCATATAATATTCCTAGAGGGAGCTGACAACTACGGATTAAGATGGATGACATGAGGGATTCACTGTGTTTTTTTTTTTGAAATTGTATTGGGATTCTTAGGAGCACTTTGCAAGTCTGCCTCATGTAATAGTTGTAATCCCTTCAGTAAATACCTATCGAGCACAGACCATGTGCCAGACACTTATTCTGAGTACTGGACATACAGCGGCGAATCAAACAGACAAAAATCCCTGCTTTTGTAGACCTTTGAATGCTAATGAATTTAAGTGCTAATGGAAGTTCTCAGATCGTTCCAGTATTCTGTACACTAGAATTTGACACAAAGTTGCAATTCATTGAATTGCATACAGAAATAATACAGTTTGTTTATATCCAATTAATGGATTTGATCCCCCTTATGGGTTCTTCATCTTAGTAACAAAGGAAGGGCAACTTAATCTTATTCCAACCTGATATGTTGCATCTGATCCAAATATTTAATAGTCTCTTTAAGTAAATGCTCAGTCTCTTTGGAGAGAATTCCCTACCTTTTAAAGTTATGACTTTCCTTCTACGATGGTCTCTGGAAATATGGGATATGGATAGAAGCAATATTGAAAATAGTAATCTTTAACAACCAGTGTCAATGAAGAGACTGGCCATAAATAACCAGTGTGGCCAGACCAGTGTATACCAGGTAAATATCAGTCAAGGGTAGAAGGACAGCTTATATGACCTCATGAAGGGAGAGGGGTCCTCAGGTGGATTCATTGTCCTCTGGGCCCTCGCTGATCTCTGTGGCAGAGTGACTCTTTTATCTGGCTATATTCAGATTTCTGGATCCCACCACTGGAGCACGTGATCCTGGTCATTGGCCTCCTATTTTGATATCTGTAAACACTGTAGCCTCCTGACTGTGTCAGTCCAATGTATACTCAGAAACTGTGTCCTCCCCCACACTTCATACAAAGACCACGAAGAATCCTCAGCTTTCTGTAGCTGCCTTTTTGCCATCCTTTTAGGGCTAGAATGGGCATGCACCTAATTAGGCTGGACTTCTCCAAAGAGTCCATATTCTCCCTGATGCTGGACCACTAATCTCAGTGTCTTCAGACCTCCTCAGGTTCCCCTTAAGTCCCTTCTCCTCTTCACTGCTCCACTAAAGTGCAATCCTGGAAGAAATGGGTGTACAAAGATGAGAGCATAGCATCTAACCCTTCGATCAACCTATACCCCTATCATAATGTCTCAAGACCTCCTGTATTCCTGGCCAGAAGGTCCAGTGCTGGACTCTTCCCTTTGTCCTTTCCTTTTTCTTCCTAGGTCAGCAAGCTTGCTGACCTCCCCGCCTAGGTGGAAGAGTTGCCCTTTTGCATTGTGGAGGAAACCCCATCATCTGAATCCTTCAGGCATGAACCCTGATATAAAGAAT